CAGACTTCCCTAAAGCAATTTGTCTTTTGATTTCCTGACTGCTGGTGCCAAGAGCAAGCCGAAATTGTGAATAATCTCAATCTCATCTCTATCTGTCATGATGCTGCCAATTGGCCCAGTGGTGAGAATCTTTGTCTTCTTGATTTGAGCTTCAATCCATATTGAAGACTGCAGTCCTTGACCTTCTGCAACAAGCACTTCAGGTTCTCCTCAGTTTCCGCAAGCAAAGTCGTGTCAGCTGCATAACGCAGTTTGTTGAGGAGTCTTCCTCCAATCCTGATGCCACATTCCTCCTCTGGAGCACATATGAATAAGGGAGCTATGGTGGGCTAGTGGGTAGAGTTGGCTTGTCAATGTAAAGGCAGGTAGTTCAAGTCCATGAGCTGGTCCACAAGAGAAAGACCAACAGTCTCTCCTGCATCATTTATAGTCTCTGAAAACCTGCCGGAGGGTCTGCAATGTCACAGTTCTGACTCAATGGCACACAACAACATGCATAAATAACGATGTTGTTATTGTTATGTGTCATCAAGTCATAATCAACTTTCAGAGGCAGTAAATTATACAGGAGGAGACGGCCCATGTGTCTCCTGCGGAGCACAGAGTCAAACTACCTACCATTGAGTTAACAGCACAGTTCCCCAGCCCCAGGTCACCAGATCTTCCTATACATAAGACTGTAAAAAAAAAAAAAAATTTAAAAAAAATTGAGAAAGGACACATATTGAGCATTTATCACCACTGTTATATATAATTGACTCATTAAAATAACTTAATGACTTCTGGGTTTAACACAGTCAATCTTCTGGTGTGGTTAAATGTCGCGGAATTCCTGGAAATTGAACAATCAGCTGTCCTAAGCCATCAGGAACAGACTCCGGGTCACTATTGCTCCTGGCCACGCTGCAGCCACACCTCCTGACTCCATCTCTTTCCCAGCACCCTCCTCTCCTCCCGCCCACATAGCCCACCTGGCTAAGCCCCCAGCCTCAAAAAGAAGAGAAGAGAACCTGGCCTCCTGCTGAACAAGGGAGACTGGGAAGACAATGAACATTTCTCAGAATGAGCCACACTAGCTTTGGGGAAACAATTCCACTTGCAAGGGTCTCACACTGATGGGTTCATGGCAGCGCCACATTAAATAAAGGTTTAAACACACAGCTCGGAATTCTGCTGCCTTAGCTGGGATCCAGCTCTGCCCCTCACGGGCTGAAAGGCCTTGAGTAAACAACCCACTCTCTTTGTGCCTTCACCTTCTCATGAAAAGTGAGATTAATAATGCTTCTTGCTTCACGACGCTGTGAAGATTAACTAAGATAATGAGCGAGATGCTGTTAGCAGTCTTAGCAAAGAGGGCCATCTTAACAAATGTTAATTATTATTAATTTTAAATTCATATTGGCTTTTATAAACTCATCTGTGGGCTCTCACTTTTTACATCTAGAAAATAATATGTGTCTAGTATTTGCCTAGGGAGGGAGCTCTGGTGGCCTAGTGGCAAAGAAGCTGCACTGCAATCCCGAAGGCGCATGGTTCAAATCCACTAGATGCTCTGCTGGAGAAAGAGGGGCCATCTCCTTTTGTGCAAATTGGCTCTAATTCAACAGTACACAACAAAAAAAAAGAAAAAAGAAATAAATAAACAGTATTTGATTAGGGAACTCTGGTGGCTTAGCAGTAAAGAGTTGTGCTCCTAACCTCTAGGGAGCCAGTTCAAGTTCAATGGTTGCTCGATGGAGGAAGATGGACAGTCTCCTCCTGGGCAATTTACTGACTCTGAAAAGCCACTCGAGAGTCAGGTATAGGTCTGTTCCAACTTGACGGTACACAACAAAAGTAGTATTTGCTCCCAGAGGTACACGGTTCAAATCCACCAGATGCTCTGCTGAAGAAGGAGGAACAATCGCCTCCTGTACCAGTCAGATCTGATTTCACGGTACACACATGAAGAAAAGAAAAAAAGAGTAGTATTTGCATAAGGAGCTCTGATGATTTAGTGGCAAGGAGTTGTGCTGCAAACCCAAAGGCAGTCAGTTCAAATCCACCAGCTGCCTCCTGGGAGAAAGATGGGCAATCTCCTCCAATGAGACCTACAGCATTGAAAGCTTCTTGGGGTGTCAAGTATGATGAGTCAGCTCCGACTTGACGGCACCTACCAGAAATGAGTACATGTGTGCTTCTAGGGTTCTAAAAGTTTTCATGTGCACATCCTGATGCGAGCATCTCAGTGACCTGACAGATACTAATTGTATGATTATCATCATTGACTTTTTTTTTTACAATCCCTCCCCCAGGTCCACTCCACCATCCAGCCTTCGCTCTGGACTCCTGTCATGACAAAAATACTTAATCACATATCCCTTTTAAACAGTTTTCTCCCTTATCTGTTTCTTTTTTTTTTTTCCTTATCTGTTTCTATGCAGTATACATTACTGAATCCATCTTTCTCAGTCTCTCCCAAACCCCAAGGTTCATCCTGTTTTACAACAGTGACACCATGCAGTATTTGTCCTTTTGTGACTGAGATACTTCACTCAGCATAATGTCCTCCAGGGTAACCCATTTTGAATACTATTGCATGAGTTCCTTGTTTTTCAATGCAGCGTAGTATTCCATTGTGTGAATATACCACAGCTTCTCTATCCATTCGTTTGCTGATGGGCACTTAGGTTGTTTCCAACTCCTTGCTATTGTGAACAAAGCCGCGATAAACATGGGGAGGATGTGCATATATCTGCTAAGATGTCATCATTATCAATTTGTGTCATCTGTTTGATGAGCAGAGGAGAAAACTCAGAGAAGAAATGAGGAGCCATAGCTTCCACTCACGTCGTTTTATGAAGCTCTTTCCAGCCTTTGTGGTCCCTGGATGGTGCAAACAATTAGCAAATGTGGCTGATAGCCAAGGCTTGCGAGGTTCAAGTCCACCCAGCAGCATCTCAGAACACAAACCTGGGATTGAAATCAACCATTGAAAACCCCACGGAGCACAGTATTTCTGGAACAGATCAGCCATGAAGCTGAACAACTGAACCAAAATGAATTGTTTTTTTCATAGTCCTAAAACAGTAGGGGTTGGAAGAACTAGTGGTGGATATGAACATCTTGACTTGGGTTTCTTATCCCCAGGTGGTTTCAACGGGACTATCTTTATACATAATTCTAGCAATAAGTATTTAATGTGTAAAAGGATCAGGGCATCATAGGCAAATTCAAAGAATCTGATTTTCATTGGCTGCACAATGAAGAACTGTCCCCATCAACAACATCCATTATAATAACTCAATCTCTTGGTAAAGACATAGTCTCCCACACTGCTGTACATACTTCCATTAATCACCAGATCTGGTATTTGTTGCAAAAGTTGTGGGGTTTATTAAGGAAATATGTTGAGGGATGGCAGGAGAAGGTAAGGATATCACACAGTTGAAGTCTAGCAATGCAAACAAGCCTCTGGTTTCCTCAATGATCCAGCAAGCCTCGTCTCATAGCAGTCCCAAGTCAGCCCTTTTGGCTTCATCTCCAGGTTCCAGGCAAGTATGCCTCCCCACATTCTCTATTCAGTCTCTTTAGCTCTCCCTCTTATGTTGGTCCCACAGCTGTTGATGACATAGGAGACACAGATCAAGGATGAATCATATATCTACAGTTGAGCCCCAGCAGGGGCTAAGGCAATGGATAGGAAAGCCATCTTTTCAAAGTTCTGGTCATTCCAGAAAACCCATAGCACAGGAGAGAAAGCAGTTTGTATTCTGTGGCCACTCGTAGACTGCATTGAAGAAAATGAGAATGATCTGTTTGCCTTCCCCCAGTGAAGAGAGGATGTGACAATGGCCTGCTTGCCTCACATTCTACAGGGAGAAATTAGAATCTGCCCATCTTGATCTGAAGAGGAAGTTCACTACACAGACTTTCTCCTTGCAGTTGCATGCCGTCAGACTGGTTTTTCACAAGGAAATACGGCATGATCATATGGACAAATAGCAGCAAATTGGATCGTTCCTGGCTTGAGGAGCTGGTGGGAAAATTAGTACTTTAGAACATTACTGGAAGGAGTTATACTTTCTCTGTCTCCTTGGAGGGCAAGTTGGCCACCACTCACCAAAATCATAGATGTATACCTTTAACTCAGCAGTCCCCAGGAATTTAGATGAAGAAACACTCCTTCGTGTGGAAACTGATGGATGGACAAGGTTTTTGTCACTATTATTATACTATGCCTTTGAGCTGTGGTGTTGGAGAAAAGTATTGAATATACCATGGACTGCTAGGAGAACAATCAGGTTTGTCCTGGAGAAGGTGAAATCAGACTGCTTCTTAGAGGCAAGGATTCTGACGCTGCATCTGACATACTCTGGACATGTTGCAAGGAGGGACCAGCATTTGGAGAGGGACGTCATGCTTGGGAGGTTGGAAGGACAGTGCAAGAGAGGAAAACCCTCAATGAGATGGATTGATTCAGTGACTGGGGTACTGGGGGATGGTGTGTCGGAGACAGAAAGATTGGCACAGGATAGAGCAGGGTTTAGGACTCTTGTACATAGGATCATTATGCGTCACAGGCAACTCGACGGCACATAACAACAACAATAGCAAAATAGTCTAAATACCCATCAGCAGGGAACTTCTAAATAAAATGTACTTTCAGACAAGGCAGGACTATAGAATTTGCTAAACATATTGGCATAGATGTTTATATATTTGATCATGTCTAAGATAAAGTGTTAAAATGAGGGGAAATTATTAGAAATATTTGTTTGTCAATGTAATAATACTTCTGGAAACAGAAGTGGGCAGTTAGATGGCAGGAAGGAAAAGAAACATTCTACTATATCTCCTTTGAGGTGTCTTCTAAATATTACTACATATGTTTGCATGATACAGTCAGAAGAAGCAACTGTTGTGCACTAGTCGGTAAGGGGGCCTACAGAAAAAGAGGGACTTAGCATCAGACAGGTTTGCCTCCCCACCTGATTTTACTGAGATCTGACTTTTCACAGCAGCAGGTTGGAGCGAGCCACAAGGCCCAGACCCAGGAAGAGAAGCTGGCGGCCGGCCTCAGGGTGGATTTACACAACACTTCCTGCCAAGTCCAGAGCCTTCAAGCCGAGACGGAATCCTTGCAGGCCCTGGTGAGTGGGGCCAGGAAGTGTCCTGGTGTCTCTGTTCTCCATTGTAACTCTCTGCTTTTGCGTCCTGACCATACAAATCATCATTTGCAATGCACCTCTATTTCCTCATGAGTTTTGAGGCCTCAGTTGCACTTCTCTCTCCCTGTTCACCTCCAACTCTCTCAATTTGTCGTCTGCAGGTGGTTTTCTTGGACATCCTTGTAGGATGGTGGTCAGGCAGTATGTGGGCTTCTTACACGGCATATGGTCAGGTCAGGCCTCACCTCGTAAGAACCAGGATTGAAAGTTCCTGAGTTTTTTGTTGGTTTTTATTTTTTAAATGTATTTTTCATTTCAATGAAAATGTACAGAGACTATGGATTTCCATTCATTCATTGTTGTACTTTTCTCCCTTTTCAACCCTCCCCCCAGTACACTACCCTCTTGGAAAAGTAAAAGAAAAATTCTTTAATTGTTTTACAATCCCTCTCCCCAGGTCCGCTCCACTATGCAGCCTTCGCTCTGGACTCCTGTCATGACAAAAATACCTAAAAACATATCCCTTTTAAAGAGCTTTCTCCCTCATCTGTTTCAATACAATATACATTATTTAACTCATATTTCTCAGTCTCCCCCTAACCCTTATGTCAGTCCCGTTTTACAACAGTGTCACTATGCAGTATTTGTCCTTTCATGACTGAGATATTTCACTCAACATAATGTCCTCCAGGGTCACTCATTTTTAATAATATTGCATGAGTTCCTTGTTTTTCCTGAGTTTTTTTTTTAATTTTAATAATTTTCATGAACATTTACAGAGATTTTGGATTTCATTCATTCATTGTTGCACTTTTCTCCCTGCCCAGCCCTCCCCCCGGCCCCCCCACCCTGAGTTTTCTTATACAACATTCTATTGGGCAAAGGATGACCAACAACAGAAGAGAAATAAACTTCACCTCTTGCTGGAGCTAAGGGCAAGATCACATTGAGGGAAAGTATGTGAGATGGAACTGGTGTAAACTTCTCTGGAAATCAGAGCTGTCATAGGGTTAGAAGGGAAGTTATTTCCCTAAGTCATTGAGGTAATTAATTAGATTATGTATTTCAAGCCCCTGGCATAGAGCCTGGAATAGGGTCAGCATTCTGTAAGGTCGCATAGGGTCAGCATTCTGTGAGGTCGCCAAGGAAGGACAGAACCCAATGCAGGTCGAGAAAGACAGTTCATTGAGGAGAAACTGCCAGGCTGGCTCTAGAGACTAGCTGCTCCTTAAAAATAGAGTGGGTTTTTATATTGTCTTACAAGGAAATTGGGAGTTAGGGTGTTGGCAGCTGCTTGGTACACAATAAGGAAGCAGGGAGTTGTGGGTAGTTATTCCTGGGGAAGGGGTGGGGGGTGAAATAGTTTGGCGGCTCTGACAGAGATAGACAGAACTGTAGCTGCTGCTTTGATCATTACTGTGGCTGTTTTGGGGAAAGGGAGGGAGAGCAGATCCACAGTTCATTCAATAAGCGGTGTCATTTTTTATTCATTTATTATAGTTATCTAGGGGAAGACCCTCAATGACATGGCTTGATACAGTGACCGAAGCAATGGACTCAAGGATATTAGAAATTATGAGAATGACACAGGAATAGGATAGAGTTCAGAACTTCTTGTTTGTAGGGTCACTGTGAGTCATATTTGATTTGATGACACCTAACAACAACCACCACCTGCAAACAACTATGTTATTTTTATTGTTGCTGTTGTAAGGTGCCATCAAGTCACTTGCAACTCATAGCAACCCTATGTACAACAGCCCTATATCCTGCTTTGTCCTGTGCTAATCTTTTTGTCTCTGACACATCTACCCCCATTTCCGCAGTCACTGAATCAATCCATCTCACTGAGGGTCTTCCTGTCTTGTGCTGTCCCTCCACCCTCCCAAGCATGACGTCCCTCTCCAAGGACTGATCCTGCCTTGCAACATGTCCAAAGTATGTCAGATGAAGCTTCAGAATCCTTGCCTCCAAGGAGTAGTCTGGTTTCACCCTCTCTAGGATGAACCTGCTTGTTCTTCTAGTTGTCCATGGAATATTCAAAACTCTTCTCCAGCACCACAGCACAAAGGCATCAATTCTCTTTCTATATAGCTATACTATCCGCATTGTTGTTGTTATGTGATTGTTGAGCCAGAAGTGATTCATAACTGACCCCTCCAGTGGGTTTTCAGAGGCAGTGGACAGCACGAGAGGAGACTGCCCATCCTATTGTGGATATCTGCGTGTAATATGTAAGTATCATTACAAAACTAGTAATCAAAAATTGGCATCTTTAGCCCTCGGTCACCTCACTAAAATTCCACGTTGCATAGTTCTATTGGAACAACCACAGCAAAGATCCACACTCCAAGCAGAAGATTTAGGAGGAGTGGTTTACAGCCGTTAAGTACTTAGGGCTCTTAGCCCTGACAGTGAAAGGAGCAGCCCAGGCTGAACCATAATAGGTAACAAACACTGCTACAGAACTCACAGAGCCATGCCTTTTCTCCCCAGTCAGAGAAAGCCGTGCCCACAGAAGACACTATAGCTTCTATAACCCCTGCAGAAGAACTGGCAAGGCCTTCAGCCCTCTTTTCCAACAAGGCACCATTTATACTGGCAGCTGAACACAAATAATAGTGTTTGAGGCCTACTGAGGTCTGTGTTCAGTCAATTCAAATCAAGAACATAACTCAAGGCCAGAAATCACAGAAGGTCACTATTTTTTTTTCCTTTCTGGAGGGTTTGTGCCATTCAAGGAAGTCCCTTCAGAGCTCAGGGGTTTGAAGAATAAGTGTGCCTCTGTGGTATTAGTATGCACGCACTGGTACTACCCGTGTCCTCAGTGGGCCTAGTTAGATGACCAGTAGCAGCGGCCTGAGCTGAGTCATTCCAGTTTAAGCATCTCTGTGAAAATCAGGCTTCTCCCTTTTCTGGCAAAATATCACCCACTTAGACATTGGTGGGAAAACAAGGCTCCGGGAATTGAAGAGGTAGCAATTGAAATGTTTAAACAAACAGATGCAAAGCCAGAGGTGCTCACAGATCTGAGGCAAGCAATCCAGACGGCTGCACCATCAACACACTGGAAGACAGCCACATTTGTGCTCATCCCAAAGAAAGGCGATCCGACAGAATGTGAAGACGATAAAACAGTATCGTTACTATCCTAAAGGCACACAGTTCAAATCCATCAAATGCTCTGCTGGAGAAGGAAGGGCAGTCTCCTCTTGTGCCAGTCGGATCTGATTCAACAGGACACAAAAGTAAAATAAATACATTTTTTAGAAAACCAAATACATTATCACTACTATCAGACACAAGGAATATTTTGCTGAAGTATTGAATGTACCATGGACTGCCAAGAAAACAAACAGATTCATCCTAGAGAGGGTTAAACCAGGCTACTCCTTGGAGGCAAGGATTCTGGGGCTTTGTCTGACATACTTTGGGCATGTTGCGAGGAGGGACAGGTCCTTGGAGAGGGACATCATGCTTGGGAGGGTAGAGAGACAGCGCAGGAGGAGAAGACCCTCTATGAGGTGGATTGATTCAGTGACTGGGGTAATCGGGATGGGAGTGTCAGAGACAGTGCGATTAGCACAGGATAGAGCAGGGTTTAGGGCTGTTGTACATAGGGTCGCTATGAGTCGCAAACGACTCGACAGCACATAACAACAACAATTCAAAATCATTACAATAGTCCACCCACAGGGAACTAGGAGAAATTCAGAGTTCAGAAAAGGGCATAGAATGAGGGCTATCACTGCTAATATCAAATGGATTCAGGTGGAAAGTAGAGAAAACCAGAAAGATGTTTGGTTGTGTTTTCTTGACCATGTAAAGGCCTGACTAGAATGCCTCATGCCTAGGAGGTCGATGTTCACACACTGCATTTTATTTTTCACAATTTTTAGTTTTACCAACATTTAATCTACGTGCATTCCATGTTCCAATTACTAAAGGGTGTTTGCCATTATTTTTCCTCATTTCAACAAACTTTCCAACCAATACTGTAGCTATCCTCATTCCTCTACTGTTCATAGGGTTTTCAGAGGCCTGTTATTTTAGGGAGTAGATGGCAAATCCTACTTCTTAGTCTGTCTTAATCTATGCCTGGAAATTTGGGTGACAGTGGTCTGGCCAACAGATTGGAAGAGGTCCATATCTTCCCATTCTCAAGAAAGGTGATCCAACAGAATGTGGAAGCTATAGAACAATATCATTAATAACATATGCAGGTAAAATATTGCTGAAGATCATTCAAAACCAGCCAGAAGAGTGCATGGATAAAGAACTGCCAGAAGTCCAAGCAGGATTTAGAAGAGGTCGTAGATATCACTGCTGATGTCTGATGCATCTTGGCTGAAAGTAAGGAATACCAGAAGAATATCTATTTTTGCTTTATTGAATATGCAAAGGCATTTGACTGTGAGGATCATAACCAGTTATGGCTAACACTGAGAAGAATGGGAGTCCCAGAGCATGCACTTGTGGCTCATGCAAAACCTGTACGTAGACCAGAAAGCTGTTGTTCCAACAGAGCAAAGAAATACTACTACATGGTTTAAAATTAAGAAGGGAGTATGTCAGCATTGTATTCTGTCTTCATTAATCCCTATTTAATCTGTAGGGTGAGGAAATTATTTGAAAAGCTGAACTCTATGAAGAAGAATGTGGGTGAGTTCTGGTGGCCTAGTGACAAGAAGCTGCACTGCAGTCCCAGAGGTGTGCTGTTCAAATCCACCAGATGCTCTGCTGGAGAAGGAGGAACAATCTCCTCCTGTACTAGTCAGGTCTGATCTGACGGCATGCACGCGCGCGATCACACACACACACACACACACACAATAATAATAATAAAAATTTTTAAAAAAGAACAAAAATGTGGTATCAGGATTGGAGGGAGACTCATCAATCACCTACATTATGCAGATGATACCATCTTGCTTGCTGAAAATGAGGAGGACTTGAAGCACCTGTTTCAGAAGATCAATGAA